GCACAAAGGCGAGCGCCCGATTGAAGGCGCTCGCCTCGGCGCCGTTCAAGGCGCGCCCAGGCCAAAACGCCTCGCCCCTCGCCTTAGGCGAGCGCCTGGGCGCGCCTTGAAAACACTGGAAGGATGTCATTAGGAGAGTGTGTTAGTGGGTGCATCAATATCAAGTGGCTTCATACTTAGCCCACATGTGACCAAGCTTGAAGCCAAGAGTCGCATCGCACCCAAGAAAAAGCTTGTCATGTTCTATGACCTTAGTTCAAGAGTAGATGGTAGTGAGGTTCATGCAATGGGTAATTTTAAAGTCATTGTGCAAGTCTTATATTGTCGCAACAAAGGTAGCAGTGGGTTAGATACCTACCTTAGGACAATGAAAGATTTACTTGGGGGACATAAAAATCGCACTTGGAAGGAGTGAATTGTAACCCACCAATGAAGCAAGCAGAGTGGACAACATGATGTAAGTTGTCCAGCAAATTAAGGAAGTGGAGTTCCCATTGAAGGAGAATGGTGCATTAGTAAACCTTGAGTGGGGATGATCCCAGAAGCTAGTCATGGGTCAGAACCTCTAAGAAACCAAATATAAGCTTGGAGTCACATAACTGATGCATGAAAGCTTAGCTAGAGTCCAATTCAGGTGATTCGTGCAAATTCATGTGATTGAGTTGAGTGTGCAAGCTGTGGCTAGAAAAAAATTGGTAGGGAGAATTTGATTGAGTGGCTAGTGTTGTGTGTCTAACACTACACACTTAGTCCTTATTGATGGAAGATTTAGTTGAGAGAATTGTAGCCTTAAGAGGCTCGAGGTAAGATGATCCTTTCTCCCCACTTCCTTTTGTCTTAGAAGGGGGCATGGATTAAAGGTGTTTTGCTCCTAAAGTAATCCTGAAGAGGATACTTTCTTTCAAAATCCTTTCTTACTCTTGTATTAGCATCATCAGGCTTGAGAATAAACGCACAAAAAGCTATACTGTTAGGATTAATTGGCACCTAAGAGCCCTTGTGATTTTGTCCATCAAATGCAGGGCCAAACATGTGTCAGTGTCATTGCACTTCATCTACCGTCAATGATCCAGATGAGGATATGCCGAAGGTAGGAATGAACCAGTACGAAGCCTTACACATAGGAGAATGAGGTTGGAGAACAAGCTACCATGATTTGCTTACTGTTGCTAAATGGCCCTATATTTATTTGGATATGCCTTTGCATAAATGAAAAGTTTATAACCTTGTGAGGCTATCTAAAACTTGCCAAAACTATCTTAAGGTCTATGTTAGGGTGGAAAAATGTACAGAAAAAAGTTAGTATCTTTATATGGGGTTGTAATGGGCATGAAAGGGGGAGTATACATCTCATTAACTGGAAAACAATCGCTTTGGTGGTTGGGTATCCTCGTTCTTAGAGATTGTGGCTTTTGTGTCTAAGGTGTGGTGCAATCTAGTGACAAATAAACATGGGCTGAGTTGAACAAATTGGTTTACTAAGAAGGATGTAAGGTTAAGTTCTAGGAGCCCTTTATTAATTTATAAATAGCGGTTTCTCACCTGTTATGTCAAATTCACAGTGGCGTTAATACTTTGTTTGGGATGATATTTGGTTGGCAATCAGTCCCTCGAGCAGATTTTTCAAAGGCTTGATAGTGTGGTTGGTGACAGATCTTGTCAGGACTGGGACATTGATGATCGAGACTTAATGGAAGGAAGCCTTTGGGATGGGATAACGTAACTAGCCTCAACTACTTGTTGTTCAATGACCCTGGAGGTT